AATGACACGGCCCACTGAAAAATGAAAATGCCAGGCCCTTGTTCAATATGATTAAGGATTTCAAGAGAGCAACAACAAAGCATTACGTGAAGCATTGTGGGTGTGTTGCTTAGTGGGGAGCCCCATGAATATATGTGGGTTGCAACTTCTACTCAGGGGCATTGCTGGTGAATAGGAGGCTGCTCAGACACAGCTTCAGTTCTTGGGAAGCTCTCCTGGGTGCAGGGGAAATGCTCAGCCTCGGCATTTGAGTATTATTTATTTTATTTAAGGCCCAGAATGCTCAGTAGGCAGGTGTCCAAGTCAGCATCATTAAACCAGAGAGGCGCTGACTGCCTTCCCAGCCTCCCCACCCCCTCTAACCCCCTGCAGCTGCAGGACCGCGCCTCCTCACATCTTTGGGGAGAGATGCTGGTTTGTGCTTTGTGAATATAGAAATAATCACCCCCATCACGTGAATCACCCACAGAGTTGCAGCTCTGGAAGCTTCCTGTGGGAGAGCCGGCCTGACAACTGTTCTTTTGTGGTGTATTCAGTGCTCCGCTGAGATCCAAGGTGGGAAAAGAAGAGCACAGACACCACAGAGAGAGCTGAGAGGAGGCCAGAAGGACATTTTAGACAATGACGATGGCACTTGAAAACCTGTCTGTGCAATCCAGGGCAGGAGATGTTTTTCTGTTAAAGTATAATTTTTATCTTAGGGTTTCTTCCCCTTCAGTTGTAGTCAAATATGTTCCACACAGATTCTGAGTGGCCTATCTTTTTAATGTTTGAACAGAACAGTGGGGCTCCTTATGTCTGCTGCAAAGGTTTCTAAGAAGCCACACCTTCCTTGTTAGACCCAGGAAGGCGAAAACGTTTCTGTGTCTGTTGGTGACACAATTTTAAGAGTTTTCACACCTGGAATTCCTGAGCCTCTACTTCACTGACAAGTCTCTCCTACTTGGAACATGATTTGGAGTCATCCTTGCCCTGGGACTATGCTTCATTCATTCACTGAGAAGTATTTATTAAGAATTTGCTGTGTTATGGAATCCCCCGAGGAGGCACACGTGGTTCATACACTGCCCCACTGTTAACCACTGAAAGAGCAGTGTTGCAAACTTGATGGAACAGTTCTACTGTGACATACGTGGGGTCAACTTGAGAGCAACTGGTAACTGGTACTAGGACTACTGTGTTGTATAGTACTGTGGCTGCTGGAGACACAGCTGTGAATGGGACTGTGTTCCTACCTCCCCCAGTTTAAGTGCACCAGTGATGGTGCACAAAGACAATCAACAAACAAACAACCCAATCCTTTCTGAGCCAGCGATGGTGTAGACAGGGAAGGGTAAGGAGGGCCGACCCTGGCTGGGAGGGTCAGGACGGTCACTCTGAGGAAGTGGCACTGGAGCAGAGAGAGTGGCTGCAGGTTCCAAGCCTAAGAGACTTAGTGAGCCTTCTGAGTAGTTAGTTCCAGGGCCAGAAGGAAGGACTGTGTGGCCACAGCGTAGCAAATAAAGAAATGAGATGAAATGAGTGACGCAGGCAGGGCCAGAGCACATAGGGCTTTTGAAGGCTTGAGTTTGGTGTGTTTTATTGTCATTGCATTCGAGTCATGGTGTGGCGCTATAGGATAAGTGCAGGACTTCAAGGTGGACTTGAACCACAAGGTTAGAATCTACCCAGAGCAATTTACTTCTGAAAATCAGCCGGAAAACTCTGTGGAGCCCTGTTCTACTCTGACACATGTGGGGTTGCCATGACTTGGAGTTGACTTGATGGCAGTTTTTATTTTGTATTTTTGCACAATGCAATCTGTTGCCCACTGGGCAGCACTTGTCCCACTCCAGTTAGTAGTGCTGCACAGTTGAGGGTTATGTTGTTATTGTTAAGTGTCGTTGAGTCGATTCCAACTCATAGCTACTCCGTATGGGGTTTTCAAGGAGTGACTGGTGAGCTTGAACCGCTGACCTTGAGTTTCAAACCAACCTTGCAATCCAGTGCTTTAACCTACAGTGCCACACCAGGACTCCATTGTGGGTGATAGTGCATCTGATATCTGAACTCTGTCTTGCCCTGAAATGATATGCTCTGGGCCCAATAAAATCACAGTCCACTAAGTGCTAAATTCAGTGAGCTCTTCAGATAGTGGCTTTTCCTGGCTTGCCAACTTGAATCAGTGCTATCAGTGCTATATAAACTAATGTTTATATAGCTCACTCCTCACCTCACAAATCAGTATGTCTCTATGGCAGGGTTTCCTGACGGAGGCTTACCCTGCAATTTGACTCCTTCTGCTCAAACCAGGCCTGGTTACCTCCTGATCTCCCACTTGTCTTTCATTTCATGCACTGGATGATAGCTTTTCCTGTTTCAAGCTTTCTCTTTTAAATTCCATGTAGACCTCAGCCAAGTATTTGAAGTTTGGGTATTGGCACGTCTCTTTAACTCCATTTTCACCCAGAAACTTAGAGGCCTTGTCTGAGTCCTGGCTAGCAGAAGGGGCACTAAGCTATCAGCTGCAACAGAAATGACACACCTGGTAAGACAGGTATGGAACAGAAACATTTTTTTTTTTACAGTTCAGTGGAACTTTTCCCAGAATTTCCTGCCCTGCCAAATCTTTCCAGTTGATACTAATGAAATTGTGTTGCCATTTGGGGGATATTGTTTAAACAGTCCTTTTGTTTTGAAGTGAAATTGGAGAACATCTGCCAGGGACCATTTTAACCAACTGAATTTTCCTTGATATTTATTTTCCTTACGTAATCTTGATGCATACTAACAGTAGTGAAAGTTTCTTGTACCTGTTGTTGCTGCTGATAAATGACACCCAGTTGGTTTCTGTAGACTGTAGTGACAAAAAATAAGGTAGTTTAATAGGTTGTAGTTGTTGTTAAGTAACGTGGAGTCAGTTCTGACTCATAGCGATCCTGCACAGGGTTTTTGAGGCTGAAAATCTTTACGGGAGCAGGAAACCTCATCTTTCTCCCGTGGAACAGCTGGTAGTTTCAAACTGCCAACCACTATTCACCAGCCCTTCTTTCAACCATTGGTTAAATATCTAGGAGCCCTCGTGGCATAGTGGGCTACGAGCTAGACTGCTTACCATAAGGTCAGCAGTTCAAATCTACCAACTGCTCAGCAGGAGAAAAGATGAGGCTTTCTGTTCCAGTAAAGATTTACAGCCTTGGACTCCTGGTGTGGCACTATAGGATAAACAGTGGACATTGAGCCACAAGGTTGGTGGTTCAAACCTACCAGCTGCTCCTTGGAAATCCTGTACATACTTGCTATGAGTCAGAACCAACTTGACAGCACTTAACAACAAACCTTATACAGGGATGTTATGAGTGGGAACGAACTCCAAGGCACATCACCATCGCCACCTCCAGTTCAGAATATGGTTACATTCTCGTCTAATAACTTAAAGGTTGATGTTTCCAACCTACCTGGAGGCAGCATAGAAGAAAAGCCTGGTAATCTGCTCCCATAGGATAGTTGTTGTCATTGTTGTTGTTGTTGTGAAGTGCTGTCGAGTCTATTCCGACCCATAGCGACCCTATATAGGGTTTCCGAGATGCTGCTGGTGAATTTGAACTGCCAACCTTGCGGTTCAAACAGCTTTGCAGCCTGGCACATTAACCCACAGCACCACACCAGAACTCCATAGGATTACAGTCAAGAAAACCCTATGGAACAATTTTACTCTGATGTACATGGGGTCTTAGTAGTTGGGGTGGACTTGGTAGCAGATTTGTTTTGTTGTTGGTTGTTTATGGAGATAAAGCAAACCTTCAGAAAGGTAGAATAATAGTGATATGATACATATTTGTATGTTAGAAGACCAAGAGCCTTAAGGGTGAGTTAGCACCTCCACCATATTTAGAAGGTCAAACGAGTATATGGGCCTGCCTGACCACGTTGGGACAAGACTCTGGGCCTCTCACCGTATACACTGTTTCTAATTAGTGGCAAGTAGAGTCAGGTTGTACACAGACCATGCAGATGTCCCAACAAAAGGGTATTCCCTGCTGCACCCCTACCTTCTCCCCTTCCCCCAAGGCAAAGGACTATCTTCTAAGCTCGTACGTTCACTACGAGAATGAGTCATGAAAAATAACTCTGATGATCTCACAATCATTGAAAGAATCACAGAGAAAAGCTGAATTATAGAGATGAAAGTTACATAAATTACATCAAGTATGAAATCTTTTCTTAAAATCTTAAAACCATTCCCTGAATTACCCCAGCCAAGGAATCTATAAATTTGAAAGAAAGAGAAAAAAAGTTTTGTTGCTTCAGCAAAAAACAAAACAAAACAAAAAACACTTGACGTTTCTGGCAAGGAAGAAGCCAACCAGGTCTGTTTGTAAAGACAACCATTTTTTGGATGGCCGCTGGCAAGCAGCTCTCTCATGCTGGCACCCTTGTTGTGTACTTTCTGGAGCACTTTGGTTTGGAAGGTGAATGACCTGCCTTTCTTCAGAACCTACACTTTGAGTGTCTTTTTTACCCCAAGTAGGAGTTAGCAGAAATCTGGTAACCCACAGAAGGCTCTGTTTCTTCCCCAAGGGAGTCCTGTTTGTGGGCTGTGCCAAGGTAGCTGAATTCTGACTTGTTCTCTATCCCTTTTCTCAACTTCCTGAGCCCTTTGCTGGCTTCCTGCCTGGCCCTGTGTGAGGGGCTGGGGCCTTGAATTCTCTCTGGCACTGCTCAAAAACTTACCCTTCTGGTTTGTTTTTTAGTGTGTATGTGTGTGTGTGTGTTCACGCCTACACCCTAGGAACATGCCAGCCAGAGGTGCCAAAAATCACAGAGCTCCGTTTTCACACAGTGGTGACTTTGCTATACTCCTCACTGTCTGAAAGGACTGGAATGCACACAGATGGGTGACTGTTTATCAGTGACGGGGCAGCTCCACACTTAACACTGCTCACATGAATGTGGGGGTACTTTTTATTCCGTTTTATTTTCACATCTTTCCTACTCCGATGGCGATGCCTGTCTTGCAGGTCATAAAGAAGGAGACTGGATTTTGGAGAGACTTTGGATTTGGGATGACCTGTCAGTATCGGTCAGACTTCATCAATATAGGTAAGAAAAAAATCTGCTTGAGAAAACTGCATCTCTACTGCCACCTAGAGGCCACTGTTCTGTGCATGGCTGAAAGGAGTTTGGTCCATATGCACAGGAGTTTAGGGGCCTAAGTGTTGCCATTTCCCCCCTCCCTCCAAAAAATGCAGTCCTCATATCTGGGACTAAGGACTGGGACAAAGAGAGCTGTGGGATGGCACGTTAGCCTCTCTGATCTTCACCAGTACCTCTCAGCAACCCCACATATTGAGCAAAAAAATCTGAGATAGAATGGAAACTGGTTACCAGAACCTCTGTGTCACCCACACAATCTGAGGTAAAACAGGAACTTGCTGCATGAAGGGAGTTCAGAGCAAGTCCTCCAGTGCCTCCTTTCAACCAGGTTGTCACTCACTTGTGAGCTTTCTTAAGTAGAAAACCTTGTACCTCCATTGCAGGGGGATCCATTTAAAAACAAAACAAAACAAAACAAGGGCAGTATTGAAAATTATGGAAAAGCACATACTGGGGGAAAAATGCAGACTTCTTTCTGTGGAATCTTCAAAATTCCTTGTGTGTGTCACTTCAAGTCCTGGCTGAATGTGCAGTCACTGATAAAACATGGACACACACACATTCCCAGGGCAGAGAGGTTGTAGATGACAAGACAAAGGCTCTCAGAGGCAGGAGGACCTCTCCAGGCCTCACAGCAAGTGAGGGACAGAGCCAGGATTAGAATAGAGGTCTCCTGCCACCCATGCAATACCACATCACCTTCTCATAGTGCTCCTTAACCATTATCACTCTGAAAAGACTAGAATTATAGCTTATCAATGACCAAGCCATGAACAAAAAGGCCCCAAACCCTGCTCCCTGATTCAGGAGCTAAAATGTACCAGGTGGACCCAGAGGATGGAGTCAGAGAGGCCCTGACATCTGGTTGATGCAGGAGGCTCCTCACAGCAGCACAGAGATGCCCATCCTCACCATCCCCAACAGACTTCCCATGAGCAGGCTAGTGTTGCTCTCTCCCTGTCTACTCTCCCTCGGTCCCTAGGCTTGAAGCATCTCCTTTTAAAAGCAATGGGTAGGAACAGTCCTCAATGTCTTTCGTTCAGCTGAAGAGAGTGAACCAGAAGGTATCACAGAACCCTCTAGGAAATCACTATGATAAAAAGGGGAAAAAATAACTTGAAAATCCAGCCCTATATGAAGTAGCAGAACCCAAGTATGCAGGTCACTGTGCAGTATGTGCTCCTCAGATACCCAGTAACTAGCTACAGGTGTTCTCAGATTTCTCTAGGAGAAATATCCTGAGTGGTTATGTGCAAATCACACTTCCAACATGGCATATGCTTCCCTTTGTTATTTGTGTAATTCCTATTTAGTAAGCTAGGATCATAACAATGATAATACTTAATCAGTTAGAGTTAACATTGCCCCTTATATTACTAACTCCTTTGGTTAAAGCATCTACTACACTTACAAGAAAAACAAGCAAACTCAAGACAGGTTAAATGACAGTTCAACAAGAACAAGGACTCAAATTCCAGTCCCCTGGAGTCCTGGTGTGGTGCTGCAGGTTAATGCGCTGGACTGCAAGGTCAGTTTGAACTGCCAGGTTCACCAACTGCTCCTCTGAAACCCTATAGTCAGAATTGACTCAACGACACTTAACAACTCAACTGGCTGGCATACTGGTTAAGCATTTGACTGCTAAATTGAAAGTTCAGCAGTTAGAACTTACCAGCTTTTACATAGGAGCAAGGAGGCAGTGTGCTGTTTACAGCCATGAGAACTCTATAGGGGCAGTTCTACTGTGATGAGTTGGAATTGACTAGAAGGCCATGGGTAACTCATAATTTCTTGACTTGCCCAACACTGAGGGGTCACAGATCACCCACATGGATGGTTCAGGAGGTGTGCTTATGGTTTCCCCATGCATGAGTCCCCTTTTCTGTGTCTGATGATGGTCTCAGTCAGACCTTTCAGGCTGGGTGAGGTCCCATGGTGCACTCTAAGAAAAGAAGATGCTTCAGTGCTCCTTGGAAGCTGAGGAAGGGACAATGACAACTGGAGTCAGTGATTCTTTGGCTCTGATTGGGACCTGGTAGGCTTTGGATAAGGAAAGGTGGGCATCTCAGTCTACAGAGGTAAAACTTTAGGGACCAGTACTCACCTGATGAAGGAGTTCATTATAAAATGAAACAAGAGTTTCTTAGAGTAGAACAGAATGGACTGTGAGGCCAAACCCAATTCATTGCCATTGAGTTGATTCCCAATCACGGCAACCCCACGTGTTGCAGAGTAGAATTGCTCCAGACCAGCAGGCCTTTTGTCTGCAGTATTAGTGGGTGAGGTCAAATTGCCAACCTTTAGGTTGGCAGTAGAGCACCAACCGTTCATGTCATCAAGAACCCTATGGCTTCTCTTTTAAGTGACTAATTTCAGTAGCCCAGGGTGAAAACAGCTTTTCAGGACATGTGTCCCTGGTTCGATTACACAGTTAATTGAAAATTCACACCCAACCCAGAGCCTCCTTGGAAGAAAGCTGGTGCTTTGCTTTATAAAAAAATCACAGCTTTGAAACCACTGGAGAGCAGTTCGATTCTGCAGCATGAATCACCTTGAGTTGGAAGTGACCATGGAAATTCATTTGTTTGTTTTAAAATATATGATCTATGAAAGAAAGTGTGCTTTTATAGGAAATCATCATTTTCCTCTTGGCATCTTGAGGTATTCCTTCATGCTGCAAGCTCCTGCTTTATTCTCTGTTTGCATGGGCAGGAAAAGAACACTTGTCATTGGGAGGTCTCAAGTTGAACAGTTGGGATGCTGCCATAGCTCTTAATCTAACTCTAGGGCTATTCATTAGCATTGCTGATGGCTCTTAAAACAGGAATATGTTTGGAATTGTTTGTAGTCTTTATTGCGGAAACCTGGTGCTGTCCGCCATGAGGGTTGTCTGTGTTCCCAGATTTCTGAAGCCACTGGCCAGGATGGACTTTTTGTAACTTGCAGGGGTTGGGAAGCGCACATCTGCTCACTTCTGTCAACCTGATTCCAATTCTCAGCAACCATATAACATGTGATGTCTCCTGAATGCCTCTTCATGCAGTGTTCTGTGCCTGTGCGGATCAAAACAAAAACAAAATCGCTTACCATCTCATGATGGCTCTGTGTCTGTCAGAGTAGAAAATTGTGTGCGCCATAGGGTTTTTGAGGCTGCAACCTTTCAGAAGACCTTTCATCTGAGGCAACTCTGGGTGGGTTTGAATGGCCAACCTTTTAACCAAAAGTACTTAAATGGTTGTGCTATCCAAAGACTCATTGTAGATCAGGGAAGCAAATATAGATCAGGAAATGCATGATGAGCGTAACTCAACTATATGCTCTTTCCTGACAGGTGGGTTTGATTTGGATATCAAAGGCTGGGGAGGAGAAGATGTGCACCTTTATCGTAAGTACCTCCACAGCAACCTCATTGTGGTGCGCACGCCCGTGCGGGGACTCTTCCACCTCTGGCACGAGAAGCGCTGTGTGGATGAGCTGACCCCGGAGCAGTATAAGATGTGCATGCAGTCCAAGGCCATGAATGAGGCCTCTCACGGGCAACTGGGAATGCTGGTCTTCAGGCACGAGATCGAGGCCCACCTTCGCAAGCAGAAGCAGAAGACAAGTAGCAAAAAGACATGAACTCCCAGGGGATGGGTTTTGGGAGATTTTTTTTTTTTTCCTTTTGCAATTACTGAAAGATGGACTGCAACAAGGAAAAGACTTTACATAAAGGGCAGCAGAAGAATTGAACTGATCAGTAAGAGAGACAAGGAGAGAGCCACCAGCGACGCCATTCCATTCTCTCTCTGAAAATCTCCCATTTGCCTGCAAAAGTAGCCCACATGCCCCTCATGAGGTGTCCTGATAAAGGCAGAATGATGGTGAGATTATGAGCCTGGCTGGGTGGAGGTGTAATGAGTATTGTTTAGTGTTTACAGCAGTGATATCTTTGTTTTCTAGTCACATTGAAGTATTCATGAATGAAGAACTGTTTTGTAAAACATTAATCCGAAGGAAAGGCAAGGGCATTTTGTCCCATATCAACGATTATATCAGTAGTTTCTAGGAATGCTCAAATATCAGAAGGCAGCAGAGGAGGCCTTGTGAAATGTGGAGATACACTCATCACAATCCTTGTGAGTCTATTAAGCAAAACCAAATGGACCAGAGAAAACAGAACACCACCACCAACAACAAAAAATAAACCATAAATACTGTATCATTGGCCCCCAAGATTAACCAAAAAGTAATCTGTTTGTTTTTTCTGTTGTACTCGTGACCATCTCCATTTTGTTTATTTGATTTAAAAATGCACTTTTCATTTTGCGTGGGGGTTACATTCTGCTTCTTCAGATACCAATTTGCAGGCCTTAACTAAGCAAGCACAAGATACCATGCATTTTTATATTTTTTTAAAAGATGCTCTTAGATACATTACGAGAACTTCACATTCAAAGTATCAAATTGAGATCTGTACCCAAGGATGTGCCCAAGGCTGCCTCCTGTCAGACACTGAACTTCAGTCTTTTCACTCAACTGCGAGGCACGATTTGGGTCGATTGATTGAACAAAGCATATAGATCCTTTCTCTGAAGAGTATTTCTGAAAAGGAGCAAATGAACATTGGAGGGATGAAACAAAGGAAAAACTTTTCACCTTAACAGAAAACTCAACTTTCAGACTGGTGATCTCTTGATATATTTAAGAGTCAGAAAATATATTTTCTCCTCAAGAGAACTAGGGACCACTTTCTTAGCTGTTTAAATAAACCAAAGTATATATACCATGTGAACCAGACAATCTCTTTTCACAGCAGGGTGCTTTTCCTGGCTTCTGGCTTCAATAAAAGGAAATGCAGTAAAAAATATATTTTGGTGAAAGATCAATTTATCTGCCAGAGTCTAGTGGAATGGAAGTTTTTGCTGTATGTGTTCACCCACCCCAGTCTAAGGGGAAGAAATGGAACTCTTTTTTTTTTTTAATTAAGTAGTTCTACTCAATTACCAAGATGCTCCTGAAAATTGCATTTTACTACATTTTCAAACTATTAAAAAAAAAAATACAGTTAACACTGAGTGATTTCTACATCCATGTTAAAATTATTTATTAGCCAGCACAAGACGCATGAGCTAGCAATCGCTCTGATTCCTTGCCTTCTGTTTGCCCACAGTAACCTCATTATTTTAAAGCTTCAAGAATGTTCAAGCTGTTGGTGTGTAACAAATGGATTGTATTGATCTGTACTGGTAGTTCATAAAATTTAATTAAACACAGGACAAGAATGGAAGGTGGCATTGGGCAGATAATAAACTATGATTTGTATTGGAATCTTGGAGTCCGAATGCCATGTGTTTAGTTTTCAGAAAACAGTATCTTGAGCATAGATCAGGGTGTTCCAACTGCAACACCATTGACACATTGGTGGTGGTGGTGTGCCATGGAGTCGGTTCCAACTCATAGTGATCCTGGACAGGGTTTCCGAGGCTATAAATCTTTATGGGAGCAGAAAGCCTCATCTTTCTCCCACAGAACAGCTGGTAGATTCGAACTGCTGACCTTCTGGTTAGCAGCTCAGTTTATAATCCACTATGCTACATTGGGCCAGAGATCTGGCCTGTGCAGTGCAGGGAGTTTAGCACCATCCCTGGCCTCTACCCACTCCCTGTCAGTAGCATCTCTCATCTAGCTTTGTTTGACAACCAAAATGTTTCCAGTCATTGCCAAATATCCCCTAGAGGTTGAAATCACCCATGGTTGGAAACCATTGGATTGGAAGGAGATGAGAACCACAAAGAGAAGCCATTCATCTATCTTACTTGATCTTTCTAATAGAAGAAATTGCGAATGATTTCTAAAGTCCTTTTGACTGTATAATATTTTTGCATATAATGATGCTGGAGACTCAGGAGGATTCATTTTCAACGTGGATGGCAGCATCAATCAAATGTTTCAACCCTGGAATTAGGCTCCTCTGGTGTGGCACTGTAGGACAAGCAGTGGACTGCTAACTGCAAGGTTGGTAGTTCAAACCCCCAGCCACTCCTTGGAAACCTTAGACAGTGTCCTTATACAGGAGTGCTAGTAGCGTAGTGGTTACGTGTCGGGCTGCGAAACTCAAGGTCAGCAGTTGGAAACTACCAGTTGTTCTGTGGGAGAAAGATGAGGCTTTCTGCTCCTGTAGAGATTTACAGCCTCGGAAACCCTGTGCAGGGTCACTATGGGTCGGAACCGACTCCATCACACAGCACCACCACCACGAGTGAAACGGCTCAATGGCACTTAGTGAGTATCACATGGGGGCAGTGGTGATTCCATATAGAATTCTTACCTTCTATTTGGGAGACCTAGATATATATGATTCCCGCCCCTTGCACCTCATGTACAGCCTGCCTGTCTGTCAGTGGAGACGTGTGTTGCTATGATGCTGAATAGGTTTCAGAGCAGCTGACAGACTAAGATGGGCTAGGAAGAAAGGACCTGGTCATCTGCTTTCAAAAAGCAGCTAATGAAAACCCATTGGATCACAGTGGTCTGATTTACAATCAGTCACAGGAATGGTGGTGCAGGGCCAGGTGATACTTCATTCTGTCACGCATAGGGTTGTCGTGAGTTGAGAACCAACTTGACGGCAGCCAATAACAAGTGGCCCTAGTTGGTGCATTCCTAGGTTGCATTCTGTGGGCTAACGATATTGTTAAGTGCTGTTTATTTGTCTTTGGCTCATAGCAACCCTGTATAGGGTTTCTGAGAAGTGGCTGGTTGAGTTTGAATGGCCAACCTTGTAGTTCAAACTGATCCTACAGCACCAACAATGCACTTGTTTAAATTGCATATTGCAGATGCCTGGTGTGGTGCTGAGGACTAAACCACTGGGACTCGAGAGCACGCTTAGGAGAGCCAAGTATTAGCATCATTTCCTAGTTAGTTTATTGTTCAGTGAAAGCAGTTGGTAGCTTGAGATCAACCATGGTAGAAATATTGACACCATGAAACTGGCCATGGTGGTGATGTGCTGTGGAGTCTGTTACGACTCATAGTGATTCTGCGTAGGCTTTCTGAGGTTGTAAATCCTTACAGGAACAGAAAGCCTCATCTTTCTCTCGATGAACCATTGGTAGTTTCAAACTTCTAACCTTGAGGTTAGCAGCCAGACTTGTAAGCACTATGCTACCAGATTGTTGTTGTTAAATGCCATCGAGTCAGGTCCGACCCATAATGACCCTGTATACAGTTTCTGAGGAGCAGCTGGTGAGCTTGAACCCCCGACTTTACAGTTCAAACGGCTTTTCAGTCTGGTGCATTAACCCACAGCGCCATACCAGTTGGCAAATGGCTACAAATCTGAGCTTCCCCTCTACCCAGAAAGCCAGTTAAGTATTTAACAGCACACATTGTCGCCATATTCATAAAGGAGCCCTGGCTGGCATGGTGATTAAAGCACTCAGTTGCTAACCTAAAGATTGGTAGTTTGACCCCACCAGCCACCCCTCAGGAGAAAGATGTGATAGTCTGATTTCTGTAAAGGATGCAGCCTTAGATAGCCTATAGGGCACCTGACAACAACAACAACATTCATAAATGTGGTCAACTTGCTTCTCTATGCAAGTCAGTGCAGCAAAGAATCAGGGCTGGAAGTTTTCAACAGGTATGCAGAACTTCACACAGCTCCATTGAAAAATGTGCCTGCACTAAGTAGATACAACAAACAGTCCTGAAAACTAAGAAAACGGCAGCTCAGAGAAAAAAAGTGAGTGTTGTTGGTTTCAAGGAAAATCTAATCTAATCTAACCATATCAAGATTAGTACAGTGTGCTGGTTAATATCATGGCTTCTCCTGTTAGATGGCCGGAGTTACAATCCCAGTTCTTTCACTTGCTTCCTATATGATCTTATGTCAGTCTCCCAGCATCTATGCATCTTGGGGCACTTATGAATGAAATGATGAAGGCAAGAGTATCTATGTTATACGACTGTTATATAGATGAAATGAGTGGATGTCCCTTGGATACATCAGGCACATAGTAGGTATTTATGTCTACCTATTCGTCTCTCATACTTCAGACATTTTTTCAGGAGGGACTAGTCGCTGGAGAAGGATATCATGTTTGGTAAAGTGAAGGGTCAGAGAAAAAGAGGAAGACCCCCAGCAAGATGGATTGGCAAATTGGCATCATCGATGGACTCAAGCGTGGCAACAGTAGTGAGGTTGGCCCAGGATTGGGCAGTGTTTCATTCTGCTGTGTATAAGGTCTCTATGAGTCGGCACCAATTCGATGGCACCTAACCTAGTCCTGGTGTGGTGCTGTGGGCTAATGCGCTGGACTGCAAAGTCATTTTGAACCACAGAATCAGTGGTTCAAGCTCATCAGCTGTTCTTTGGGAACCCTATACAGGCTTGCTATGGGTTGACAGCACTTAACAACAATGAACTATCCAAGGACTCCTGGTATGGCACTCACTATAGGATAATCACTGGACTGCTAATCATAAGGTTGACAGTATCACTGTAAGTCAAAATACGGAGCAGAGCTAGTCCGCTAATTTCGAACCTGCAAACCATCTAAAGTAGGTAACTTCCAACAAAGTTGGAGATTTCCTACCTAAAGTAGTAGGTGCTGAGTCGACATCACCTCATGGTGGCCCCATTTGTGTTCGAGTAAACTTGAGCTCCATAGTGTTTGCATTGGCTGATTTTTTCAGGAGTCGTTAACCAGGCCTTTCTTTTGAGACATCTCTGTGTGAACTCAAACCACTACCTTTCACTT